TCCTAATTCCTCCTTGTTTCTTTTGCAGAGTTAAGAATATGTTTCCTTGTTTATCAGATACATGACGCTTGATGAAGCAAGGAAGATATACATTAAAACATTTAAATACATATCGCTGACTCCATGGAATGGACATCCTGTATAAGCACTGAAAGCAACAACACAATAACACTAAAATTTTAGGCACTCTTAAATGACCTGCCTCTAAAAGCATTGGATGTAGCATTGTGCAATTAGGTTTTTCCTTATTTGCTTCATTGTACTACCTGTGTATATAGTTTTTACTTTTTATGTAGCACATAAACATTGGGGAAGGGAGGGCGGGTGGGACTGAGGAATTGGCATGGGGGTGTTTGTACAATTTGCTTCAGTTTATAGCAAGGAGAAACATATTTGACTTGCATGAAGAGAAGCAATTTTGGGGAAGGGTTTGAATTGTTTTCTTTAAAGATGTAATGTCCCTTTCAGTGAGAGCTGGTATTTCATTTTTAAAATCATAAAAATTTGAACACTGGCTACAAATAGTTGCTATTTATTTGTACATGAAACTTATTCTCATTTGGGAGTTCTGATGATTCTGTTATGTAGCAACAAATGGCTTTAAAAAAAAAAATCAAAAAACTGTCCTCTTTGCTTTCCCTAAAAATTGGAATTTACCAGTTAATTTTCAGCTGTTGATAATCACTCCAGGTAATTCTGGGCAAAAACCTGGGGTGTATGCTGGGGTGTAACTTTTATATTTGTTGAGAAAATGTGTTTTCTTTTCACTTGGGTTGTGTACACACAGTCAAAATAATTCTAAATTCCTGGATATTTTAAAGATCTAAGTAACCGCACAGACAGACACACACACACACACACACACAATAATGAAATAATTTTGAATTTAAAACCTCATTTTATTTGTTAATTTGCCCATAGTAAAGTGGTGTTTTTAAAGGAAGGTGCATATAGAGAAAGGCACACTGGGAGAGTAAGTGAAATGGATACTACATCTTTAAACAGTATTTCTTCATTGCCTGTGTACGTGTATGAGGCAAACGCATTTGAATTGTACCTGTGTACATAACTCTGTAAAGACACTGAAAAATTATACTAACTTATTTATGTTAAAAAGATTTTTTTTAATTTAGACAATATACAAGCCAAAGTGGCATGTTTTGTGCATTTGTAAATGCTGTATTGGGTAGAATAGGTCTTCTTCCTCCTTTGTTAAATAATATGGCTATGCTTAAAAGTTGCATACTGAGCCAAGTATAATGTTTTGTAATGTGTGAAAAAAATGCCAATTATTGTTACACATCAAGCAATCAATAAAGAAAACTTCCATAGCTATTAATTAAGTGGAACTGTGATGTATTTCACTAAGCTCAAGGTGTTCATCGTGGCCTTGTCATATTTACACAAATGTAAAATGACAAATACCTAGATAATTCAGGCCCACTCAGATGATGCTTTGTGTGGGTATGAATGTGGTTAATGGTTACTGTTTTCCACTTAGTTCTGCATGGGTGGACAAAACTTTAGGAGTGGGAAATGGAAAAGCCATTTTTTCATATAAAAATACTGTAAAAATCCTCATTATTTAAAATACTCATCTCTTAGGGTAAGAGATGTGTCAGAACCAAAAATCCTTACCTAAGTGTGGACTGATCACACATTACAGGATTGAAAATGAAAGTAACATCATGACTTCTCTAAATTCTGTTACTTACACATTCAAAGTGTAAGGAATTAAAAGCAGTTGTTTAGTCCACCTAATCTACCAATCTTGCCCAAAATATTAAATTGCATGGGTCCTTAAGAAATTGGTGTGCATTCCATATAAACTTAAGCATTTGTCAACTGACACTGGTCCTCATACACAAATTCCTCAGCTTCTAAATATCCTGGCTATAATCTACACATCCCCAAACTAACTAATCAAAATACCAAATCTGAGGGGCCTGGGGTCCCTAGATCCACGCAGTAGAGGTAAATGATTTTACTTAAAAAATTCTAAGACAAATCAGTTTAAAGTCAGATTTACTAAAATCTTACTTCACATTCTCAAAAAAAAAGGTGGTTAAGGTGTAAAGTAAATTACAGGAATCCACAAATGGGCAAATTGTAAAAATCTGAATTTAGGTAAAATTGTTTCACTCAAACACTATTATTTACATCATTGTACCTCAACCCGGGCCCTAAATAAAACAGTTTCGGAATTTTTGACCCGAAAGTTTTCTTTTTTTCTAAAGCAGAATTGATTCCTGCTGCCGAGAAGGGAAAAATAGGTCCTTTACTGGTGGCTGGCCCACCTCCTTCAAGTAGGTATTATTTTAATTAAAGACCAAAGGTGTTTTTGTGACTGTGTGAAACACGCATCCAAGGGTGTTTTTCAGGAAAAGACTGAGAGAGGAAGAAAAAATTCAAAATGGGGAGAAAGGAGTGGAAGGTTAGGAAATAATGAAATAAAATTAAGGTTCCTCTGAATAAAAAGTACTTCAGAAAGCGTCCCTAACAGAGGGGAAAAACATCCTTTTAACTGCGTTATGTTCCTCATTTTCCTTTCAGAAAGAGGTCTCTTTAATGCGAGTTTTTAGAGATTGCGTTTTAGGAAAGCTGGGCCGGGAAGCTAGTGGGTGCCCGCTGCGCCAGGCACGTTCGCAGGGACGCAGCCCCCAAGTCACCCTGTCCTCCGCCCTGTGCACATCTGTGTCAAGACTCCCACAAACCATCCTTCGGTAAAGACTGTCCTGTCCCCACCCCGACCCGGACTGCGTGGCCCACCGTTAGCATCTCTTTTGGGGGTATGCAGCCGCCGACGCCAGCCACTCGCTGCCCACCAGCCGGGCCAGTGCACCAGCGTCGTCTCCGCCAAACTTTCCTGCGGCCCCGCGCCCGCCGGTCCGCCGCGGCAGTTGCGGGTCGCGTTGGCTGGCGCGTCTGGACGAGAAGGCCAGCAAACCCCGCTGACCCCTTCAGCTTGCAGTTCCCGCACTGCCCGGGTCGCCGCGCACAGTTCCCGCGCTCTGGGCGCCCGCAGGCCGCGGAAAGCGGCCGCGCCTTTGCCCGCGCAACGGAGCTGGGCGGTTTCTCTGAAACTTTCCTCCCTGATTTATCATCGCTCCTCCGGACTAAGAGAGCAGCGAAAGGCTCCTTTCCTCCTTACACCAGTACCTCGCCGCCTCCTGAGCGGTGACGGGATTTGAGCGAGGCTGGAGACCCTCTCCCGGTGCGCGGACCCTCCAGGGCAGCAGCCCGCTCCCACCCCTAGCCCGGGCTCCAATGATCCGCAGCCCCGCGCATTTCGAAAGCCTTTCCGGCTCGCCGGCGGCCGAGGACGGCCACGGCCGCGCGCAGCGGGGTCCAAGGGCCACAGCCGCTTTCGGGGGACGCCCCTGCCCTCATCCTGGCTTCGCCAAGTCTCCCCAGTCGCCTCCCCGGCTGATCAGCGCTGGGGGACCCAGGCAGGGAAGAACGGGGGAACTGTGGGTTTGGGGGCGCGATCGGGGGGACAGGAGCGGAGTAGACTTCAAAGGGTGCGAAGGAGCTGAGCAGGCGGCCTTTTGGGCCCGGTGCGCCCACCGCCCTGAGCGACCTTTCCCGGGCGCCTGGGAACCCTGCCTTCGCCATTGCATCTTCATCTTCGACAGCGTCACACACTTGCCCTTCGGATTTTAAAAGGGTGCTTCTGAAGCTCGCCTAGCATCGTCGATCTGCTTGCTCTTCAAAGTCTGAAATTCTCTGTAATTTGCCGTCTCTTTTTCACCTGAGCCACACTACCTGCGCCTCGCTACTACCTACTTCCTGGCCAAAAAAATAATAAGGCGAAACTCCTGCTGAACGTAGCTGGGAAGGGAAAGGGGACCCACGATCGCGCCGGGAAACCTCGGGGGGCGCCTCCCGGAGCCAGCTCAATCGCTCGCGCGGGGGCTGGGCTAGGTTGGGGTCACCCGCCAACCGACCTCGCAGAACCGAAAGTGCAGTGTTTTCTACGTCAACCCAAGTCCCCGTGCGGCCATCGCGCGTAACCCGACTTGTCACGCGTGGGGACGCACAGAATAGGCAGGAATCGGGAAGTTGGGAAATATATTCCTTTTAAAAAGCCGTCAAAGCTTTGGGCGCGAAACTCGACGCTCGTCCAAAGGAACGTTAAGCAAAGGCAGGAAGAAGGGCGCGCAGTTGGGGCGCGGGCCGGGGGATTGCATCATTGCAGCTCCCCCTGCAGAAAATGGGCTCCGAACCGCGGCGACCATCATGGCGCTCGGGTCGGGCCGCGCTTCCCGCGCGTCGTCGCCGTCGTTCCCTGCGCCGCGGCCGCAGCAGCGAGCCTCGAGCGCGCAGTTTGCAAACATTTCCCCCTCCCCGGAGCGCGCGCCCCCACCCCCGCCTTCCTTTTGTGTGCGTGTGTCTGTGCGTGTGTGCGTGCGTACATGTATTTGTGTGTGTGCGTGTGTGCAGGGGAGAAGTTGAAGATTATTTTTTTCTCTTTTTTTTTTTTTTCTCCCCTCCAGTGCTGGTGGTTGTAAACTTGATTGGCATTGGCTGCGCCCACTGACCCCTGCGCCGAGTCCACTGAAGATTTAAGGTGGATCCGAGGGACTGCGGAGTCTCTCGTGCTTTAGCTACTTTTGGAGAAAAAAAAAAAAAAAAAGCCCCAAACCGGGCGCCCGGCGCGTTTTTTTACGAATCCCCTGCGGTCTGGGCCCGGCGCTCACCGCGCGCCCCGCCCCCGCCGCGCCGCCCCGCCCACCCCGCGCTCCTTCCCATTGGCCGGCGCGTGCAGTTTGAATTTTTTTACCGATGCTTGTTTTCTTGCAAAAATATATATATATACTGTACCCTAGCCTAGATCATGTGATGTAACCTACATGGGTAGCCGGAGGTGGGGTGCTGTAGTCGGTTTGGTGCAAGCGGGAGAAGGATGGGTGGAGCTTCTGTTCCAAAATTTGCCCCCCAGCGCGGTGGCCGGGGGTGCGGGCGGGAGGGGGACGCCGGGCGCGGGCGCGGGCGCGGGCGCGGGCGGGACCGGCTCTGCTGGGGACCGCGATGTAGTATAAACGTTAATGGATGTCCAGGGCGCGCGTTCTCCCGCTGCTGGCCAGAGGCACTAGGAAGGCGAGGATGCACCTTCTCCCCTGCCTTGGAAAGGTAGACTTGGGGAGGACGGGAGGGTGTAGGAGGCCCAGAGAAGAACACTTTCCTGCAACCGAAGAGGGGAAAAATAGAGGAGATGGAAATAGAGCAAAAATGTATTATTTGAAGGGCCACTCAGCCAAAATTCAGACAGTCGGTATCATTTAGAAAAAACTGAATCAAAGTGGGAAAAAGTTTGTATCTTTGTTTTCTAGTTTTGTTTTTTTTTTTTAAAAATAAGGAATATGTTAAAAAAAGAAGAGAGGAAATAAGTGCATTTGATTTCTGGGTCTTGGAAGTTCTTTTCATAGAGTACTTTAGGTTTTAGGATAATGTTATTTGTAACACAGGTCTACCAGAAATTATATCCTTTATTAATTAGAACCCAGTTATATTTTACCTTACTGTGATCACCTTAAAAGTTTATAAAAATTCAAATTTGTTCTCCAAAGCACTCACCTCAGTGAAGGTATTGTATGTGCATGCCTTTCTTCCCTTTCTTCTTCTCCCTTTCTTCTTTTTCTTCATTTCTAGGTCTTTCTCTGTTCTTTTTATTTCTTGTTAGTCTTGTTACACTGTAGTAGGCGATTTCAACTAGATGTCCAGCCCTTCCAAGAGTTCCTAACCCACTGGTGACATGTTTTAGTTCTCTCTCTCTTGCTCTCTTACTTTTTGGTGTGTTTGAGATAGGGCCTCCCTGTGTAATCCAGGCTGGCCTCGAACTCCCAGTGATACTCCTGCCTCAGCCTCCCAAGTGCCGAGTGCCAACGCATCTGGAGTATTTTAGTTCTTAACTGCCCCAATCCTTGTTAGTCAGCAAACCCTTTAACTATCCCTGACATTACTCTACAAAAACCATCATAAACCAGCGTGCTTGTTCCTTTAGTAAGGCTGTCTCATTTAATCTCTCTGATCCCACCTCTTAGAGGTCCACTAGCCACCCCTGACCTCCAGGGCACCCACCTAACAGGGTGGGCACTGTAAGGAAACACATGTGCCTTCTATAAGGAGGGAGTTGGAGTTAAAGACAGGCTAGACTGACCTCACCATCCCTGAGTTTATCTCTGGAAGACCCCTTCATGGGGACACTGTAGACAAGATTCAAGTATCACGTAGTTTCAACGTTTGTTCCAGACCTTTGAGATACTATATTTCCAACCTTGGGATTTCTGGAGTTCTACTAAATTAGGCCTTTTTTCTTGCTCGTGTGGCCAGGAGTCACAGATAGCTACTGAGCACTTGAATGTGACCGGCCTGGACTGAGGTGACCGGCCCAGACTGAGGTGTGCTGTGTGACCTAGATACTAGGTTGCCAAGAATTAGTATGAAAAAAATGTTAAATATCACATTTTTAGATTAATTACATTAAAATGATAATACTTTTGGTATATTGGGTTAAATATACAATTAAAGTGAATTTCATCTTTTTTTTTTTTACTTTTTGTAAGGAATAGGAGGATTTATTAGGCAGAGTTAGAAATGAAGAGAAAATAGGAAAGGGACTTCAGTTTGAAGAACAGAAGAGAGCACAGATCTGATGAAGAGAATCAGACTGGCCTTCCGTTTTTACTTTTAATTAGTGTGGTAAACAATTTCACTTTACAAATGTGGCTCAAATTACATTTTCTATTGGGCATTCTAAACCAACACCTATAACTTGAGGCTGTCTTGAAAAATGATCACTGGTAATACTGAGCAGTAATGTACCATCCAGCGTTATCTTAGCTTTTTAAAAATAAGTATCCCTATTGTTTTTAAAAATTGCTGCTTATTTATTTATTTTAGAGATGAGGTCTTACTATGTTGCTCAGGCTGGCCCCAAACTCCTGAGCTCAGGAGATCCTCCTGCCTCATCCTCTAGATTAACAGACCACAGGCAGGACTTACTCCTCTCAGGCTAACTTTCCAATTTAAAGTGAGGCCCAAACGCAGCCTCTGAAACCATTCAGTATAGATGTACCGATATCTACCACCTACTGTATTGTCTTTCACAGTATTAAGTTTGATCCCAGATTATAGGAATATAGTACAGATAGGGTCAGACACTGCATTTTCTACAGTGGTCCCACAACATTAGACTAGAGCTAAGATTCTTAGTGCTGACTGCTGTCTTAGCCATCCTAATATCATAGCTCAATGCTTATTCATGTTTGATGTGATGCTGGTGCAAATGAACCTACTGCACTGCCAGATGTACATCACAGATGCAATCTGTGACACATGCCTGTAATTCCAGCTACCCAGGAGCCTGAGGCAGGAGGATTGCAAGCTGGAGACTAGCCCAGGCAGCTTAGTGAGAATGTGTCTTAAACAACAACAGCAAAAATATGCTGGGGATGTAGCTCAGAAAGTATTTGCCTACCATATGTGAAGCCCTGAATTCAATAAATTGGGAGGGGAAAAAAAAAAGTCAAGATTAAAAAAAAAGATAAATGGGCTAGGAATATAGTTTAGCACTCTCTGGTTCAATTCCCAGTACCACCAAAAAAAAGTACAATATATATAATTATATACAGTATATAATGCTGTACTTGAAATGACTGTTACTCATTTGTATTTGCTATTTATTGTGATTTTAGAGTAGATGTTTATCTGTCTGTCTGAAGTTAACTGTAAAACAGCCTCAGAGGCCATCCAGAATGAAGCATTGTTGTTGGAGGAGGTGGCGGCTCCGTGCATGTCATTGCCCCTGAAAACCTTCCACTGGGACAAGCTGTGGAAGTGGAAGACTGTGATAATGACGATCATGATCCTACGCAGGCCTAGGATAATGTGTGTTTGTGATTTAGCTTTTAACAACAACAACAAAAAGAAAGAAAATGCTTAAAAAGTAAAAAAATAAAAAAAGCCAGGCAGGATGGCACACGTCCGTAAGCCCCGCACTCTGGGAGGTTGATGCAGGAGGGTTAGAAGTTCAAGCCTAGCCTGGGCAACTTAGTGAGACCCTTGTCTCCAAATAAAATAAGTAAATAAATAGAAAAGGGCTGGGATGAGGCCCAGTGAGAAGGCCCAGGGTTCAATCCCCAGTACTGGAAAAAGAAAAAGAAGGAAAGAAAGGAAGAAAGAAAGAAAGAAAGAAAGAAAGAAAAAGAAAGAGAGAAAAAATAGTTTTTTATACTTGTACAATGTGTTTTAAATTAAATGTTATTATAGAAGAATTAAAAAATAACAGTTTATTATGAAGTAAAAAATAGTAGGAAGCTAAAGTTAATTTATTCTTGAAGAAAGAAATTTAAAAGATAAATAAACGCAGTGCAGCCCAAGTGTGCAGTGTTTCCCAAGCCTGTAGTCCTGGGCAGAACTGTCCTCAGCCTTTACAGCCCCCTCCCTCTCACTGTCCAGCCACAGCGGCCCTCAGCTCCCTTCCCGGTAAGCATGCCCTCCAGGTGGGGCATTTTTTCTCTTTTATACTCTACAGGGTACTGTATTTTTTTTTTTTTTTACTGTAACAAGCATTGTATACAGTGTTTTTACTTTTCTGTGCTCAGATACACAAATCCCTTTGTGTTACAGTTGCCCAGTCTCCAGTAGAGAGCCAGGCAGCTGCAGGTTTGTAGCAATAAGCCCTGTGTACAGCCTAGGTGTGCAGCGGGCTCTGCCATCTGATAGGGGTGGGTGAGCACACTCCAAGGCGCACAGGACAAAACCACTTCACTCATATATAGGGTGTGTCCCTGTCCTTAAACACTGCGTAACTGTATGTATCCAGTGAAATTAAACTTAGTCACCACAGCTGTCCACAGTGTGTAAATAGAGAGACTGGGAAGAGACTGGAAGTATTAGGAATCACTCTGGGGAAAGAATTTAAATCCCAAAGGAAGCCTCAACAGGTAACTTTTCACTCAGGCTTTTAGGGGACAGAAAGATGAGGAAAGGTGCAGGAGCATTGTTGTTCTAGGGCAGGGTCTCTAACAGATATGCAGACAAATGAAAAAGGGTAACATTCTTTTATAGAAATACTCAAGATGAGAAAGTGGCAGTCTTCTCTAGTTGATACCTCTGCACTCAATTTTGATAATAAATTAGCATCTGATCATCTTGTTTTGTTCTATCAGTCAGTCTATGTACCTAGGGCCACATTATTTTAATTACTATAATTTGGGATATGTTATAATTGCCGATGGGACTAGTTCTCCACGTTCCAGCAAGTCCCTTTGTGCTCCCCCACCTCCAAAATCTTGGCTTCCTTTGTTTGTTGTTTTTTCCCATATGGACTTAATATACATTTGTCTGATTTTTAATTCCTGTTAGCACTAAGGAAATAATAAAATGGGATCCTTAATACCTTTCACCAGGATAAATTCCTAAATAATTAAAAAAAAAAAAAGGATAAGGTAGAGAAAATGAAACTATAAACATACCAGAAGAAACCTCAGGATTTTTTTGGATTTTTTTTTCTTCAATACTGGGCAGTTGAGCCTAGGACCTTCACACTGAATTATATACCCAGCCTCATTTTTTAAAAAAATTTTTTTCATGACAAAAAAAAAACTTTTATTTTGAGACAGGGTCTCATTAAATTGCTAAATTACTCAGGCTGAGCTCCAACTTGTGATCCTCCTGCATCAGCCTTCAGAGTGCAGGGAGGCATGTATCACCATGCCCAGACCTCAGAAGATTTAAAAAAAATAAAACCTCAGAGTGGGGAAGGTCTTTTCTAGGTAAGACACAAAACATAAAATTCTAAGATGAAACCTCAGTAAATTTGATGACATTGAAATAAAAAAATGTTCTGTACTCCAAAAGTCTACCACAAAGTCAAATGAAAATGACACATTGACAATTGCATAATAATGTGAATATACTTAATGTCACTGAGCTGCATATGTAAAATTGGTTACAGTGAGTGAAGTATGGTGGTGCACACCCATAACCTCCACACTCTGGGAGGCAGAGATAGGTGGATTGTAAGTTTGAGCCCAGTCTGGGCAATTTAGTGGGATCCTATTTCAAAATTAAAACTTAAAAAATAAAAAATAACAAAGGGCCAGGATACAGCTTAGTGTGAAGGTCCA